GAAAATTTAAAGGAAACATGTGAAAATGACTTTTGTTTTGAAGTCGTTTTTTTATTTAAACTTAAGAAGAATGATCCTGTTTTCTGTCTTATTCTCTGCGCTTAACTTTATAACTTTGAGGACACTATCATGCATCTCACATGACCACTCTCGTAATCCCATGAATCTCTTTGTTTTCTTCCGCGTTTCCCCCGTTTTCTGCCCTTGCTTGGTCCTAAAGAGAAAAATGCATGCAATTAAAGCGCGGTTCAAAGTTCAAATGGCTGCTCAAGAATGTAAGAGTGTCAAACACGTTGAAACGCGTTGAATCATGTCATTGTCGTTCACAAATTCACTTTATTTGAAAAGGCGATTGCTTCCCAATTTTTTGGAGGCATATGCACAAAAAGGAAAGGGAACGAAGAAAATGAATGGAGAATGATTGAAAGAAGTGTTATGTCATTTTTGCAATATCTTTCATTGACTTCTGTTTGAGAAAAAAGCTTCCCACTGATTGCTCTTTGAATCAAGAAAATTTCTTTATTCCTCTTTAGCCACCATAGTATATCAAAAACCACCATCACTTTTTGCAAAGATCCTTAGTTTAAATCATTATCACTTTCGTTCTCTTGTCTCTGGACTATCGAACCTATGCTCTTGACCACATTCATAGCGAAGGCGACAAGATGCAATGCAGAGTCTGAGATAAGCTAAAAGCCAAAACTTGCTTTTTCTCAACTGCCTTTACCATTCGATTTGACAGTGTTTATACCTTTATTTATTTGTAACCACGTTTTACCGTTGATATTATGTTTTACACCCCAGACTGTGATAAAGAAAAAGCGGCTCTTGTGCTTTTTATGCTACTCAATCCTTCTGTCTGTGAAAGGCACTTATAATTGGCCAAGCAAATGATCACGTTTGTTTAGCGACAAGCTTTCTGAGCTTTCCTTGCTGAATTAGATGTAGCATTCATTACAGTTTTTTCCTCGTAGTTGTACTTATGCTAATTATATTGGAGGTGAAAACAAGAGCCGAAATTGAAGAGGGTATTAACGTAAGCCAATTGCAGCATCTCAAATGACTGACTTCCAGAAAAAAAAACCTTCCTCCTTTCTCCCCTTCTCGACCATGCACTGCGGTTGGGCTGCAACTCATCACCATAACAATCAGTTATTTCTTAGCAACTGCCGACAGTAGGATGAGCCGGAAGTAATGAGAACTTATGTATGCGTTGA